TAGAAATATAATAATAACCGGAATTCAGGATGTGGTTACTGCAGATAACACCAGTGTACAGATATTTATGCATGTTATAATTCCAAAGAGAAGTAATAAATAAAAGACTTGGGTAGTGTTTGGGCTTCTGAAAATGATTTAAACAGTAGGAAAGTAAATCTTGATTCCCAATGGATCAAAAGATTTACAGAACTTTTGCCACATAATTAAAAATGAATTAGAAATATCTGATGGAAATAAAAATTAGTGCACAGTTGAATCTGCACCTGATGTTTCTGACATTTCTAAAATGAAACATTAAACATTACAAACAGAAACATTTGACATCATGACAGCAGTCCTAAACAAACCTGAATATAATATATAACACTTTTGTTTAGGGCAATTGTAGAATAAATATCTAACGAGATTTTTTCTTTCTTGCATAATGTTTACATTTCTAATGTATTGAAGTATAAAAGAAGTATAAAATGGAATATGAAGTTATTTAAAGTGAAAATACATATGAAAAACTGTACTGCCACAGCTGTGCATTTGTGACATATTGTCCAATGCTGTAAATGTTTAACAAGAGACTGGCAAAAAAACAGATTGGTTGAAGGCAGTGTAAAATAAATATTTGATTATAATATTGTAAAGGAGGCCGTTTTTTTTTTTTTTTCAATTCTAGCCCTTGCTTTTGCTGTCGCCCGTTCAATCTGTTTGGAGCACCAGGAGCAGCCACGAGTAGTGAGACCCCCACCCCTCCCCACAGATAAAATCTCACTCCTACCAACTGAAAGTTGGCAATGCTAGCATAAAATGGATATGCTTACGGTGCGTAAAAACTGTTACACTGCAACTCACAACAGAGGACGCACTCTGGACCTGGTCATAACGGCCCGTCCACCAGTGTGTTCTCTGTTGTTGACTTGGCTGTGTTCGACCAGTACTGCATCTTTTTTTTTTTACCATCCCTCCTATTATGCATTCTAGTGAAACACAATGAGGAAACGCTACCTTACTTTTGAAGTGACATTTTGAAATTGAAGTGAAATTTTATTGAGACTTTACACAACTTCCCTTCTGTCAATTTACCTGATTTTATTGTTGACAATTTGAAACAATAAACTGAAGTCAAGCCTTGACTCTGTAGCGCCAAAGGTGACAAAACAGTTAAAGATAATCCTTTTGTTTAAATCTTGGCTTTAAAAAAAGCAATTTTGGGGAGACAACTAAGTGAGAGTGAATAATACACTAACCTGAAACCTTCCGGACTCAAATCCTTCATTAACCACCCAGGTGCCACTGCCCCAAAACTGCATTCCTTGACCAGGAATCAAGCCCAGGACGCAGCGGCGAGAGTGCCTAAATCTAACCACTAGACCACCAACTAACTTGGTCGCACAGGTGATACCAGTCTGCCATACGATTGACCGAGGTGCTCACACATCTTGCCATTGGGTCAGGGTGTGGTCACCTCTTGGATTAAGAGGTGAAACGTCTTCAAAAAGTGGCGCTTTGGCCCAGAGGCAATGTCTCTGTCATTGGTGTGGAACCCCAGGGTTCACCTCCTGGGCAAGTTCGAATCCCGGTTACGGCGGTTAATACCTTCCAGTGGACTCACCACCTGCAGGAAGGTTTGTGGGGTTGGTATGGTGCAATGTGATTTGGGTGGCGACTGCTACCCCCGCGACCCGGTAACGGATAAGCGGATGAAAATGGATGGATGGATGGATGGACGTCTTCAAAAAAGTGAGTTGAGTTGCCCTCTATTTATTCTCTTCATTCACACTATTTACATGCATCAAACCTCAACCACTCTGATGGGGATTGCAACAACCCATCAGACTCCTAACGGCTGTTAACACTTCCCCAGATGACCCCAACGTCCCACTCAACAGGAGGGACCTGAAACACACCTGTATCTTTTGTCACACCCACAGTATACAGTATTTTTGCTGTACCCCCCACCACCAGTTAGAACTGAGAGGTGAAACGTCTTGAGAAAATTTCATGTCAACCATCAGGCCTAAAACACAGGCACATAACAGGCACTAACACACACAAGCCTTTCATTTGACCCAGCTAAGCCCCCCTCTAAAGTGCACCACCATGGAAACTCAGCACAAAGGGAAGCAGAGCTTAAAAGCAGGCAAGCATTTTTGACCAGAATACCAATTAGACAGTGTGGGAAGGAAGCAGACAATAATTAAAACTGATGTCCTGTACACTGCGTTATTGTGAACGTGTGTGAGCTATACGTGTCTGGCAGCATGTCGCGGTAGTTGCATTCCAAGAGCCACCATGTAAACTTTCACCAAACACAGAAGCACAAACTTTACAGCTCAATGCTGTGTTTGATTTTCCTCCAGGTAAAGAAAGCTACCAGCGATGTCTTTTAGTTTATTTTATTATGCTATATTATTACTGTTCTTTTTTTTTTAGGTAAGAAAATGTTTTTATCACAAAAACGATGAAAATATCGGAAATAAAAAAAAAAAGATTTGCTATAAAATACCGTGATATAGTGAAACTCTCGCGAGAATGGAATAGGAAAAATCCACTATCTACGATGCCAAGTAATTCAGATAAAACAATACTTCCTAATACAGTCATTTTGAATAATTAAAGTTACTACTAACAACAATTATTCTCAGTCACTACAAACACACCAACTGACAACCACATTAGCTCTGCTAATAATGGCAACTTTTCTTGCCTTGCATATGTTGACTTTTGTGTCAAAGGTAAAAAACTTCCTTTGAGGTCTTTTATGTACTACAGCATATAACTGCCAGAAAGAGCAATCAATAAAGATCAGTTAAATACTAGAAAAAGAAGTTTGCTTTTCAGCTATCGCACAGGAGCAGAATACAAGTCTTTAAATTTGACTCTGAATTTACATTCTGCTAAACCACTGCAAACATGGTAACCTTTTTTCTTATCTTTGGGCAATATGGCAACGCAGTTACATTAAACTGGTCACAAGAAGTAATAAAGTAATAAAAGGCTAACTAAAGGAAAATACAGTATGAGGATATGAATTTTTTTCTTATCTTTCTTATCTACAGCGCGAGTGCATTTCCATCCATGTCGGTCAGGCTGGTGTCCAGATTGGCAATGCCTGCTGGGAGCTTTACTGCCTGGAACATGGGATCCAACCAGACGGACAAATGCCCAGTGACAACACTCTTGGAGGATCGGATAATTCATTCAACACTTTCTTTAGTGAGACCGGAGCTGGAAAACATGTTCCCAGAGCGGTATTTGTTGACTTGGAGCCAACTGTCATTGGTTAGTCATTACCATTTTTAGTACTATTCCATAAAGGTGTGAAAACAGATCAAAATGACTAACAAGATATCTATGTTATCTCTTAAGATGAGGTTCGCTCTGGTACATACCGCCAACTGTTCCATCCTGAGCAGCTAATCACTGGGAAGGAAGATGCAGCCAACAACTATGCTCGTGGACACTACACCATCGGCAAAGAGATCATTGACTTGGTGCTGGACAGGATTCGCAAATTGGTACGTTGTTTTAAATTTGATGTATCTAATCATTCCCTAAAGTACAATTCGAAAGTTGAATTCATTTCCCATCGTTCTCCTTTCTTTTCAGGCTGACCAGTGCACTGGTCTTCAAGGTTTCCTTGTTTTCCACAGTTTTGGAGGGGGAACTGGCTCTGGCTTCACTTCCTTGTTAATGGAACGATTGTCTGTTGACTATGGAAAGAAGTCCAAGCTGGAGTTTTCCATCTACCCCGCTCCCCAGGTGTCTACTGCTGTGGTAGAGCCTTACAACTCCATCCTGACTACCCACACCACTCTTGAACACTCTGACTGTGCTTTCATGGTTGACAATGAGGCTATTTATGACATATGTCGAAGAAACCTAGATATTGAGCGTCCCAGCTACACCAACCTGAACAGGTTGATGAGTCAGATTGTGTCCTCCATTACGGCCTCCCTACGCTTTGATGGTGCTCTTAATGTAGATCTGACAGAGTTCCAGACAAATTTAGTACCCTATCCTCGTATCCACTTTCCTATGGCCACATATGCCCCGGTCATTTCCGCAGAGAAGGCATACCATGAGCAGCTAACAGTGGCTGAAATTACAAATGCCTGCTTCGAGCCAGCCAATCAGATGGTCAAATGTGATCCTCGCCATGGCAAGTACATGGCTTGCTGCCTTTTGTATCGCGGTGATGTGGTGCCCAAGGACGTCAACTCTGCCATCGCAATAATAAAGACCAAGCGATCTATCCAGTTCGTGGACTGGTGTCCCACTGGTTTTAAGGTTGGTATAAACTACCAGCCACCCACAGTGGTTCCTGGTGGAGACTTGGCAAAGGTTCAGAGGGCTGTGTGTATGCTAAGCAACACAACTGCGATAGCAGAGGCCTGGGCTCGACTGGATCACAAGTTTGACTTGATGTATGCCAAGCGCGCCTTTGTCCACTGGTATGTAGGCGAAGGTATGGAGGAGGGAGAGTTTTCTGAGGCCAGAGAGGACATGGCAGCACTGGAGAAAGATTATGAGGAGGTGGGAGTTGACTCAGTGGAGGGAGAAGATGAGGGAGGAGAAGAATACTGAAAGGGGTAAATGGGTTTAAGCTCAACAAGACATGAGTTAGTGTTCTTATAGGTACATGCTGACTTCTAATTTGCGGTGTAATGTTGTCTTTGTAGAGCTGTTGAAATTCAAATTAAATTGTTAATGCATTTTAATCTATTGCAGATGTAAGAATAAAGTGCACTTTGTATCCAATAATTCCACTGTCTATCATTTATCTTTGCTCTTATTCATAATCGATATGCACATTATTATTTGCATGCAGAGTGGGATGTCAAAATACCATCTTAATTCAGTGGATGTTTTAACATCTGGTTATTAGACGTCAGAACAACTTCAATAAGAACAGGGCAGCTGGAGAGATGCATTAATATTGTTGAGGACAATGGTTTCACCAAAGTACGAAAAGCAACTAGCAACTAAGATACCGTAATGACTAAAATCCATCAACTCCATGGAAGGAACGTACACAGTTTTACATTTTTTTTGCAAAAATTTACATCATTTTCTTGACATTTTTTGATATGAATACACTTCTACTACGTTTTTATGTCCCCGAAATATACAGAAAAACGTATTGTAGAAATATTGAGAAATGACAATTTACTTCAATTTATCATGGTTGAATGACAGAATTATGTTTAAAAACCAGCAAGAATGTCATTCTCTATTTCTTCTGTTCAAAGATTTAGCATCCCGGCCTAACTTGTATTTGTATTCTTGTATTCATGCATGTAAGACCTGACAGCATTTGTGCCATGCCTGATTTCCTGTGCCAGACAAAAGCTCTGTTGAACCTGACCTTTGAAGAATACAAAACTCTGTGCTTTCATTGTAGCTACAACTGCTTTGGTTACCATGGAGATCCTGTGTTCCCTGCAGGACTACTTCCTACTGCTACGTCCCTTAAAGTTGTCTTCACCATTTGTTACTCTCCTCTGCTTTAAGAACTGTATTAATTAATAAGTAATGTGAAACAGAAGTGGAGCGTCTTACCATTTGACAACTGATGTGTCATAAAGGTGGCTCAGCGGTAACACCTTGTACAGTAACTGTATATGATAACATTCGCTAACAGTAAGAAAGTCATTTCTGTCCGGTTCATTTTGTCTGGACAGTAATCTATCATCTTGCTACAGTGATAGCCGGGTTACATATACAGTGTTCCCTCTCTATATCACGGTCCTCCTTTCGCCTCAGTACATTGCAGATTTGTTTTTTGACTCGGATCTCGTGACATTTTCGCTATATATTTTGGCTTTAAAAATGTGGATTCTCATTTTTAAATTGAGATATGCACATTTGAGAAAGATCGCTGGTAGATCGTTTACCTAGACGAGACTGTACACAGCATGCTATTGGCTAACACTATGCGTACTCTGTGCTATTGACTAATTGAGCATCCTCTTCTGTTCCTTATGCTGATTGGTTCATGCAATGTAGCATCTCTCAGCATCTCCCCTTGTCTGTCTGCCACTCTCATTCACTTCGCTCTGCGTCGCCATTATACAACTCTACTGTCCAGCATATAATCGTGCGGGAAAGGGTAATACAGTCTAGGGAGGAGCGCTTAAAAGCTGTCCACTGCTCCCCTTGGTGATGTGTTATGGCAGAGGCTCAGTTTCTTTGTATCCTCGTGGTACAATGACAACACAGACCACAAAATAAAAAATAAAAATAAATATTAAAATAACATTCTCGCCTCTACTTCATGCATTTCTTTGCATTGTAAACACAAGATTGTCGCTGTCCAGAGAACGCCATATTGTGTATTGTGCACGTGTGAAAATGGCATTGTTTATTGTTTTTTACTAATTTGCCCTTCAGAAGTGCCATTTAAGATTATTATTTTTATACGCTACAAAAAATCTGTGTTCCCATTAAATAAAATAAATCGTTTTACTACATGAATAATGGGACTGTGATTCGTTAATTGGTTAATAGATTCGAAAAGTCACATAAAATACTGCACACTGCAGCGCGTATCTCCGTATTGATCATTGATCACAAAAAAACAAAACAAAAAACAGTTCATTTGCGCACTTTTAAAAATGATATAATGTGTGTGACTCTGTGTTGTTTCATTTTAATTTAACCTGATGCCTATGCATTCTAAATAACATTATATGTAAAACATATAAATGTTGATGGTGAAATGGCGCTTTGGACCAGAGGCAATGTCTCTGTCATTGGTGTGAAAACCCAAGGTTCACCTCCTGCACAAGTTCGAATCCCGGTTAGGGCGGTTGGTACCTTCCAGTGGACTCACCACCCGCAGGAAGGTTTGGGGGGTTGGTACGGTGCATGAGTGACCCAGTAACGGATAAACGGATGAAAATGGATGGATGGATGGATGTTGACGGTGAACCTCAGTCTCACTTATTGGCAACTGGGATTAAGTCCAGCACTCCCACATAGCATTCTCTTCTGTAAATACCTGATTAATTCCTATACATCAGTCATTCTTAAATACATGAAAACATGACCCAAGACTGTTTCATGAAACAATAAGAGAAAAAAACAAAAAGAGATCATCAAAAAGGAATTTGAGGACAATAAAAAGAATATAAGATTGTAGATTGTAATTGAACCTTTTTTTGCATTTTTCCCCAAATGCTGTTTTATAGAAAAAGAAAGAAATTAATTGAATTAATTAAATTATAAAGGAAAATAATTTGGGTTAATATTGCCATCTGCGTATCCGGGGGTACTTCGTAGCTAAAGACTGTCGACTGGTGTGCTGATCCTCTTCCACCTCCGATTCACACATCTCCTCGACTTCTTCTTCCTCGTCTTCTTCCTCCTCTACTTCTTCTTCCTCGTCTTCTTCTTCCTCCAAACATCTTTGACGCTGTAAGATTTTATGACCCTAAAAACAGAGTCATGTCAAAATTAAATGAATCGTAGAACAGGCGTCATGCTAGCTTCACTGTGGCTTCAAAAGTATCAGAGCTCACTCGTTTTGCTCCTTCGTGGAGGTGGCCATGCTGCAGTCGGCTGCTATGGCCAGTGGGAGACTCCAGCATGGACCTAAGTCTTGGGCCTTTAGTAGAGGACAATGCATCACCGGTGTAGGTACTCAAGAGAGCAAATGAGTGACTGCTTGTAGTCATATCCAGATGCCCAGGCAGTGAGTCAGATATTTTGATGCTACCTGAAAAAGCCTGGCGATAGTGGGAAACACAGAATCATTAGGAAATTATACATATTATGCTTCTTTTTTTTTAAATGAACCGATGAAAAGCATTTATTTAAATATATTATACCATTTTTTTAAATGAACCCTTGTGGTGGATAAAAAAGCATTTATTTAAATATATTATACCCCCTTGGTCTTTATGTATGGTTTTAAGCACTTTGAAGAACTTTTAGGGAAGCTCTTTAAAATTTAAATCAGGGAACACTTTTTATTGATTACATGCAAGAGAAAGTGTCAACAACTTTCTAACGTCAAACTCTGAGCAAACGTACATCTATGAGTAGCAGTGTTGTTGATACACACCTGTCACATTAGTTCCAATTAGAGCTAAATCTCACCTATAAATCCAAAAAAAGTTACATCAAGGGCAACTGAACGGAGCAGGTTTCCTTTTTTAAGTTGTTTCACCTCTCATCCAAGGGGCTTTTTTTTTAGTTTTGACTGACTACTGGAAAGTTCTGGTATTTAGCCCTAGCGTATGCAACAACATAGAAGAGCCAGCTCCTCAGGGCAGGACTCAGCAATTCATTTACATCTTGAGGACAAGGAACACACTTTGTAGATGAGGATGTACATATCCTCGCTGGAGAAGACAGATGGTTTGAGAGAGGGGCAAGGGAGCCATTTACGTCAATCTGGAGAAACCATCTTTCAATAGAGGAGGAGAAATAAAACACAACCTTTCATCCATCTATAATGTCGTCCTGAATTCTCTCCCCCCAAAAACTCAACCCCCTCCCTGACAACAAGGCCAGAGTTTAATTTCAAAGGACACCCAGCCAAAAGTGTCGCTCAGGTGATACCTATTATGCCATAGGTATGGTATCATTCCCCATCCACACCTCTAACCTTGTGACTATATATTCCGTCCTCCTTAGAATAGGGTGTGGTCCAATTTGTAGTAGGGATACACTGATCGATTGGCCAGTCGATTCCCTTTTAATTTTGCGGGATTGGCAATCGGCAGATTTCTTTATGTGACATTGATCTTACCACCGCAAAGGTCTGAAAGTCAGCCACTGTGCTACTCTGCTGTGCAGTAAGAGAGGGCTGACTGACAGGCCCACTCACCAGGTATGGTCCTTCGGGCCTAGGTGACCCACCCCAGGGGTACCATTGGCAAATATATATAGTAGAGCCAGCTTCCTGTTTAGAATCAGGGATTAAGACTTTCTTAATAAATGTAGCCATAGCGGGTGTGGTGATGTAATAGCAAAAACTCCAAACGTCCATCGAGGGCATTGTAAACCAAGGACCCCTGTATAGCCCTTCTGATCTGATACCTGAGCCCAAATGCTCAACTTAACTTTGCACAACATGCCATAAACAGGGACACTATCAACTCAGCAACGACAACCTATGGCAAGTATCGGTATCAAACATGAAAAAGTTGTATTCAATACCTATAAAATGATTTTAAAAATAATTTTACATTTTACATACACCATACTAAAAAGTGAAAATCAAATATTTGGTTTTTAGGAACATTATTTTAAAAGTCTGAAATACCTCCGGATCCTTGTTTATGGCCTCTAGGTTGTGATATGTGCCTGTATAAATCTCCAGGGCTTTTGCGTGGAAAAGCATCTCAACGGTGATGAAGTCTGTGAAGATTCTCTGACAAACATAGAGAGAAACATACATTTAAAGTTTAATTTTGTGTCTGCCATAAGTTTGGGGGGTGTAAAGGAGAGAGACGGACTGACCTTGACATGCTCAAGTTTCTGCCTTTGAAAATCTGTAAAACTCTCCTCCAGGTGTCTGCCGCCTCGCTGGGCATTGTTGGACGCTTTCTGAGCACTGACTTCAGCCTGGTATAAAATGCGAAATACACACACACCAATGCCTGTGTAAAGAGCTCAAAGACTCAGCAATATAACTGACAATAAATCATTTACCTTACCTTAGACTGATAGGATGTGTCAAGAAAATCACAAAAATGGAATGTTTGAATCATTCTTTTGCACCAAAGTACAAGAAACATCAAAATTTAAAGTAAAAATAATTCCACAGTTTTTCATTTAAATGAATAGATTTAATGTCTTAGACTTGGAACTTAAAGTATTTTAAATGTGAGTTTACAAAGATTTTGAACATTACAATTGTTAGTGATTCACTTTGAGCTATTCCTTAAATCTGGCCCACTTTCCCAAAATTCTTTTGCTTGCTAAGGCTAACTTTTAACTATGTTTGCTATTCCTCTTGTCATTTTGTCCATTTTCTATCTAATGCAGTGGTCCTCAATTATTTTCTGTCATGCCCCCCCTTGGGGAATGAGATGTTTTCACACCCCTCTCTCATTCCCCCATGCCCCTCCGACCCACACCCCCGCAACTTGAAATACTATTGAGGACCTGTAAATCTTTATCTGTACAAACCACTATATGAGTTGCTGCCACCTAGTGACTGGAGGCTTGTTATCGTTCAAGCATTACAGCAGTGGTACATTTATGTCAACCATGCCATATTCCATGGGAAACCCATGGTTTATTTAATTGATGTCAATGAAACAAATGTGCTACAAGTATGTAGGGAATTAGAGACATCAAACATGTAAAAAGAAGGATACAATACTTTGTCGATCCGCAGGGTTTCTCAGTCGGATTCTGTCCAGCTTCTGCAACTCTTTCACCTCTCTGTTCAAATCACTTCGGAATCTTTTCAATTCAACCTGTAAGGCAGACACACCGTTAGTCAACACTCAGCCTAGTACCAAAAAATTGCTGCAGTATTTTCTCGACGAGGCAGAGTGGTTTTCTAATTATAAGACATCATCTTTCCTATTTACAATACATGTAGCATAATTTCTGGACTATAGGGTGCAATATAAGCCGCACCCACTAAATTTAAAAATAAAAAAATAATTGTACATATATAGGCCGCACTTCTCTACAAGCCGCAGGTGTCCATGTTGTAACATGGGATATTTACACAGAAAGATTTTTTTCTTTGAACTAAATAAACGCTTTTTTTTCCCGAACCGTGCATGTTACACGTTAGCTCTTTCCTACTTCGGCGTCCCGACCGTAGTTGGAATGCACTGGGGAGACTTAGTGATCTGCTCCAGGGCCAACGCTAACATTAGCATCGGGGCTAACTACCTTCACTTTGTGCTTGTCCGCACAGAGCTAAACAGAAACAGGGAAGGTGGGGTCTTTACGGGCAGTGGTGGCTTAGTGATTAAGGAAGTTACGGTAGTCTGTCTGTTTTATAATCAACCTAAACATAAACAATTCTATTATTACTTAGTGAAATACGATTATCTCAAAGTACATAATACAAACATGTTACTCAATGTAATGAATACGTTAATGAATGTTAGTCAAACAAACCTACTGTGAGGGAACATCTCGGCTGAAAAAACAACAGCGATGAAATAAGTAAGTTATCAATCTCTAACACAATCAAATCGGCAATCAATTATTTACTTCTGCTATATTTCAATAACATGTTTGCCAGTTTAATATAATTTGCTTTTTATAATCTGTATATAAAATATGTATATTTCCGCAAAGAAAAATGTCACACAAGAAAGACTAACGGTCACTATACAGTAACCTCTTGCTAATGCAGGTTCAAATTTAAAATATCTCCAAACTCACCTCTTTGTTTTTGATGATGTCTCCGTACCCTTTCATCGGAGCCACAACTCTTGTCTCTAGTCTCTCTACCTGAGATGGTAAGAGTTTAGATTCATTGTTTTTAAACAAAGGCCTTAAGTTGAAAAGGACGATGATTGTACAGAAACAGCAGCCAACAAGCAGGGTTTCTGACCTGAGCCTGTCTGTAATCCTGGACAATAGCTAGGTCTTCTGCAAAGTTCCTAAGGCTCATCTGGAGCTCTGGTCCCTCTGAGCTAGAGTAGTCAAAGAGCTGGGCCACCAACTGGTCCGCCTTATCGCGAAGCTTGGCTGTCTTTCTGGTGTAGGAGCCCATGAGGTTGCAAATGTCACCCAGATGCTTTTTAGCATGTTTTACTTTCTGCTCTAGGCTCTTCACCTGAAAATCCCTGTGTGACAGTGAACGTAACACATGATAAATATGTACATTTGTGTTTGTTTGTGAGTGTATGTGTGAGAGATTCATACCTGGAGAAGCTATTCATTTTTTTGTTCCTTTGTCAGTCCTGCTACCCTTTTGTTTACCTTAGCTCCCGCTCACCTGTACCTGGAAACGGGAGACTTTTGCTTTGGAAACAGCAACAATGGTTTTATGGTGTAAGTAATGCTCTCGGCCAGACGATGGCAGCATAGTACACTTAATGGGTCTCTAGACCAGGCTTCACTTCGCTCTCAGCGTCTTCACTACATGGTCTTCAGGTCTAAAGAGTAGCAAAAACAAGCATCACTAACATTTTGCAAATAATAGGCTCACCTCCAGTGACGGGTATAAAAAAAATTGCTGCAGTATTTTCTCGACGAGGCAGAGTGGTTTTCTAATTATAAGACTTCATCTCCCCGTATTTACAATACATGTAGCATAATTTCTGGACTATAGGGTGCAATACAAGCCGCACCCACTAAATTTAAAAAGAAAAAAATAATTGTACATATATAGGCCGCACTTACACAGAAAGATTTTTTTTCTTTGAACTAAATAAATGCTTTTTTTTTCCCGAACCGTGCATGTTACACGTTAGCTCTTTCCTACTTCGGCGTCCCGACCGTAGTTGGAATGCACCGGGGAGACTTAGTGATCTGCTCCAGGGCCAATGCTAATATTAGCTCCGGGCTAACTGCCTTCACTTTGTGCTTGTCCGCACAGAGCTAAACAGAAACAGGGAAGTTGGGGTCTTTATGGGCAGTGGTGGCTTGTGCATTCCGCTGGACAACATACATGTGCAATATATGTCAACACTATAGTTTTTACCTAGACTCTTTTTATATTTATTTTCTGTATATAATTTATCTTGCTTTCTCTTTTCTCTTTTTTGCACTAAGACTGCTTTTTGCACTGCATTAGAAATTTTGTTGTACTGAAAGTATAGTGACAATAAAGACATTCTATTCTATTCTATTCTATTCTATTCGTTTCTGTTCCCTGGTAGAGTATATGATTTCTTATCAGAATAAGACTGACGACTCATGGTTATTGATTGGGTTTAAAGAAACGGTCCCACTTCCGTTTCCTCAACCACAATGCCTTCACTGCCCCCAAATGGCCATTTATGGTCAAAGAGCTATGTTTACCCTTTTAAAACCATAACGATGGCAGAAACTACCCCCCTTTTTGGCCTGATAACACGCTCACTGCGTTAAGTAAGTTGATAAAATCAACTTTGAATGGCTACTGAAGCTAACCACCCCCTAACCTGAGATCTGTTTGTCTGTTTATAATCAGTGTGTTTCTATCAAAGGTCAGGGTGTTTCACTGGCATTTTTGGGATTCTGAGTCATGAGGAAAGTAAATCAATTCTCAAATGATCTGTGGAAAGGAATTGAGGCTGCCAATCAGCTTCTGTTGAAACCAAACCATGGTGAGGTAGACTGACTTTTTCAAAAGTTGCTCGACATGCAAGGAAAACCCCAATAGTACTTGAGCTGAAATACATTTTCAAAAATTAATTTAAATAGGGAAATGGGCTGCATGTTTGAGTTGCCAGAAGAAAGCCATTACTATGCCAGTACCACAAAGTATCTTGCTTACAATACGCCAAACAGCAACGGAACTAGCCACAACCATAAGCATTACATTTGGAGAGTAGTCAACAAGGCATGATGTAAGGTACAGCATTCCTACTGTGAAACACGGAGGCGGATTGCTGATGTTTTGGAGAAGTGTGAGGTACAAAAGGCACAGGAGACTTGGTCAAAATTAATGACAAGATGAATGCATCCGTTATCAGAAAATACTGGAGAAGAAATTTGCACTCATCAGAACTAAAGATGGGCATTGAACGTTCCAACATAGAACGACAGAAAACACAAGGCCAAGTCGACCTATCATTGGCTACGGCAGAAAAAAGTAAAGGAGTGGTCATCTCAGTCTTCTGACCTCAATATCAACACTGGAGATTTTACCATCTGAGAATATAAAGAGCCTCATCCACAACTACCACAAAAGACTTCAAGATGTCATTGATGTTACATAGGCCATATGCGGTTTTAAGAACTTTTGATCATGGTCATTTGAGTAGTTTGTGTTGTTGTTATGATTTAAAAACAATAAACACAATTCATCCGACCGTTAACCATGAGTGTCCAAGAAATCATAAATTCTGCATGGGTATGTAATCTTATGAGCTTAACTGTACATGTTTCTAATATTAGTAGATTAAAGGCTTGGGTAATACTTACTTTAATATACTTACTTTTATACTTGATTACTCTATTACTCATGCTCACGCACATAAGAATCTTTGATTGTCAGAATCCATTGATTGGTTGTGGTTATTTCTTAAAATATCCTCTGTTGTCTTCTCTGAGAGGAAATAATTCCATTTCACTAAGACATCAATCAAGATAAAAGACTTTAAAGGTAAAAACAAACACATCTCTAAAATATGCAAACCGACTTTTACGTTTTACATACATTTCATACATTTTAGTTTCCACACTCAACCACCCTGAAATACCAGATAGTTTGCCCAAAATTTTTGACCTCATGAAAGTAGCTATTAGCTGAATATTCCTCCCGCCAGTTCCATAGTGTAGCGGTTAGCATACCTGCCTTGGAAGCTGAGAGTGCTGGGTTTGATTCCCTGAGGAACCACATGCTGGGGATAGCCTGTTAACAGCATATGTGCTGTTAACACAAGACTTTCCCAAACATGGGATCAATATATATATATTTTCATACAGGAAAGACCAGATAATTGTACAAATGCAACAAAATATATGGCCTCTGATTATATTGCAATAATAAAAAATGTTAAAAAAAAGGAGAAAATTAAAATAACATCACACTTTTTTTTCTTTAAAAGTAACCGATTTAAATGCACAGAAAACGTACGAAAACAGGAATGGCCTGTAACGCGCTGCATTAGAATTCACGTAAATAATAAATTCTGTAACTGCTAAGCGTTGCTTATTTCAAACACCTAAAAAGAACGGTTGGTTGGATGATGAGATGGTGTGAATCAACAGATAATAGATGTTTGTTATTCTGTATCTTCTGCCTGACTTTGAGATGTATCTTGCACAATTCTCAACAACGACGGTCCTACATCATTTAGAAAAGCAAAAATACTCAAACATCTTACAGTGCTTGCTAGCCTTGTCTGCCTAAATGAATTATTAATAAACATAAGGACTAGTTGCTATAAGTAGTCCTTAGGTTTATTTATTATTATTTGCGTAATAAACTGTATTTTCGGTACTATAAGTTGCACTTTTTTCATCCTTTGCTTAGGTTTGCGACTTATACTCAGGTGCAACTATATATTAAAATATATAATTTCACGTTTGTTATTTTCACTCTAGTATCTGCTGCTCATGTACCACCAGAAATTTACATGTTCGTTATTTTCACGCTGACAACCATTAGACGGCTCTGTAGCTGGCTGGTGCCACATACTCCGGAGTGACTTACATTTTTTTTATCTCCTTCATTATGCATTTTTTTGGCTGGTGTGACTTATACAAACAGAAAATAGAGTAAATGTGCAAAATTATAAAAGTTTATTCAAATTCAAATAAAACATTTTGGAAACAAAATGAAAATAATGAAAGAAACAAATGTTGCTCATTCACAGAGAGAAATTCTTGATTCTTGAAGGTTCTTGATTCATTGACAATAAATCCTGCTTTGGAAAAAAAAAAACACGTTCAAAAGGTCCAGGGTTCACCACCTGGGCAAGATAAAATCCAAATTAGGGCGGTTGGTACCTTCCAGTGGACTCACCACCCGCAGGAAGGTTTAGAGGGGTTGGTACGGTGCAGTGTGATTTGGGTGGCAACTGCTGCCCCCGCAACCCGGTAATGGATAAGAGGATGAAAATGGATGGATGGATGGACGGATGGCCATTCAAAAGGTGTGGAGCAGTCGCTTTGCTACTCGAGCCAGGCTTGGGTTGCTGTCTTGATGTTTTTCCACAGCAAAAACTGTGGCTCTGAGTGGTTGGCCACCCCTGGTGTACTGTATATCCCGAGTGCTGCCTGCCTGATATTGTTGGCTTGTTCGGCAACTGAGTTATGGTAAGACAACTGAGGCAATTTTTGTGTCAAAAATTTTGTTCAGGAGATGTTGAAAAGGAAGTCGTTGTTCAAAAAGGGAAGAAGTGCGACAACCGAGGTTCCACTGTAAATGGAAATGACTGGATTATAATTAAATAAAGTGAATTGTTAACTATTTTACTGCAGCCTAGCGATGGGAAGACCGACTCTTTTTATTGATTCGAATCTTTGACTCTCGAACAGTAAAATGAACGAGTCGTGAATGAATCTTGAACTAATCATTTCATTCGTTTTGCAGCAGGTGGCGCTTTTGCCCTATTGTGGGCGTTGTAAAGAAGGCTGCGGTTCTCCGACACTAAATAAGGCAACATGGTTTGCTTCAGCTGACAAAGTCTACAAAGTTCACAAAATGCCATAAGTAATTAAAACCATATGAAAGGCTAAGAAATAAAAACACAGCACAATGTGAAGATGAATGAGAGCAAAGAGACCCGAGCTCTTTGTCACGTGACAAATGAAACGAATCTGCGAGAACGAGGCGAAAGATTAGTTCACAGCAAAAGATTAGTTCACGGCGAAAGATTAGTTCACGGAGAATGATTCGTTCACAGCGAAAGATTCGTTCACAGAGAATGATCCGTTCAGAGTGATTCGTTTGCAATGAAAGATTAGTTCACAGTGAAAGATTAGTTAGCAGAGAGTGATTTGTTCGCAGTGAGTGATTAGTTCGCAGTGAGTGATTTGTGAGTGATTCGTGAGTTCAATATGAATAAATATTTAATATGACTCGAGTAGTCACGAGTCACGAATCTTTCATATGACTCGGGAGTCACGACTCATTTGAAAGATTCGTTCATTTTGAACGAATCACTCGCGAACGACACATCACTACTGCAGCCCACTACCACATGATCCACAGACAGATCTGCAGACCGGGGGTTGAGAACCCCTGATATATGGGATTTAAAAAAAAAAGCAGTCATTACATCTTTACAAGAACACAGTTTGGCCAAACTCACCATACAAGCGGAAAATGAATAAAAACCACAAACTACACTGACTTGCAAATGTAAAGATGAAAGTTTATTGACATTTTTTTCTTATTTAACAAACTCTTTTTGCAAAATGACCTAATGTGACATATAGATTTCCTTAAATAATTTCAGTCAGATCTGTAATGCGGTTATACATACAACTAACACATTAACATACGAAATAATAACATATAAAGTAAGAACCAAGACGGTGAAGTATTAATAGTTAGACTGTGAGAAGCAGATAACACCATGTATATTTATTATTTCTCTATCTACATGGCGTTAACACCTCTTGCCAACTGTCATGAGGAACACACACGCTTACCCTAGCATAGAAACCTTTTGGCTTGTAGCATTCTGTAGGTCTTTTATTGCAATCTGTTGCTTGGAAAGAAAATAACTTTTGCAAAATATTCAGCACATATGTGAGCATTAAAAAAAAAGCTGCATTTCTTTCTTGCATTTTAACTTTGTAAGTTACGTTCATCACTCAAAATGAATTTACATAGTTGCTATAGGGAAACATGTTTTATGTTACCCCAAAGACAACACAGTTGTGTTTAACTTGAGGCTAATTACTTAGATAAATCAAGTCAACAACACACGCAAAATCAAATATACAGTATATAATGTCCGTATCATAAAAAAGTGAAAAAAAGGACCATACACAGAATCTGGTCATTCAAGGGGGATGCTTACCACTCCCTCTTTTCTTCACTTGTTCTTGGCAGCAAGTGGTTTACGGCTTATTTTCTTACTTTTGTCATTATTCTTCTTCGGAGGTTCTGGGTTGGCCTGCATGTGTCTTCCATAGAGACTGCAATGATAAAAGAGAGGAACAAAGCTTTTTTTAATGACATAATCAATTTTCAAGTTGAGTCGAGTGAGTTACATTATTAGTATCTTAAAATATGTTATTTTTTGTTAGTAACTAATATAATTAATTAAAATATATTTTCATGCATGACGGTCACTACAGTGGACAGCTATTAAAATGTCATTTTCTATGATAAGAATAGTTTAAAATCTTTACTTGTATCTCAAAAATGTGCTCGAAGGCTAGCTCGTATCTCGGAATACTCGTATGTCGGCATGCTTGTATCTCGAGGTTCCACTATATTTTATTGACGGTATTTATTGTTTTATATGGCTTTGTTACTTTGCTTACAATACTAAGCCATCTATAATCTATATTATATTATTAATTATATATATAATATATTATTAATATTAATTATATCATCTATAATATACCTGTGTAATCAACCAAATGTTTCACATTCCCTCTGCAGTACCTCTGTAGACACCTTGTGGGGTTTCACGTTGACAGCAAACATGTTGGTGATACGTATTGTGATCAGGTCTGTGTGTGTGTACTTACTACTTGTAGGTCTCTGAGCGCACATATTCAAAAACATGGGAGACACCCAGCTGGAATTGGTCTGCAATTGGCGTGACCCACGGATTATTCTCTGCTTTAAACACCTGTTTCGGACCAGTCAGATCCAGGTTTCCTGAAAAAAGTAAAAAAAAAAACAAACAAAAAAAAAACACAAAATCAAAAATAATCACTTTTCTATACTCTGCACTAAACCTAACACATCTGAATCAGAGGCTGGTGGTCATAATAAATGTACCCATCTATCTTATAAACAGTATTTTTAAACTGAAACAACTACACCCCGTGGACCAGATACACTGGTATGACTTATGGTTAACACTGATTTAAATCCTTCTGTTTCATGCATTGCAATGAGTTCGTTGCAATTCCAGTTAATGCTGCTAGAGGGTGGTGTCAATCAAATGTGCCAAATTTTCTTTGAAGGTTTAGGTTTAATCTTGTACTTTTCATTTATATTATTTCGCACAAACATTCTACCATCCAACATTTCGGCCAACTGTGGCCAATGTGAATGTTTTTCACAAAGAAAACCCTAGAGTACTTTACATATTCACAGGACCAGACAAAATCATCATATCATATCTAATCATATATAAAACACAGCTAACTGTGTGAAAAGGGTGTCTGTAGCTCATGACTGCTCTTTGCCAGGGATGTGAATTTCATAGTTTCTAGCTTGAAAATTTAACTGGATTGAGATTTTTCCCACATTACCAGGTACAATCCTTGGTTCTAGGTTCTTCAACAGACACTGAAAAACCACAAGAATTGCATTCGGTGGGTGTGTAATTGACTGCACAGTCTTTTAGCTGTTTCATGTAAACAATGAAGGGGAAAAATAAGCCATTTGTGAACAAAATGTAAGGCTTGTGGAAAAGAACTTAGAAAAAATGATTTAGTTTTACAAATTTTAAATTTAAGTCCTGAAGACATCCTGATTATGAAAATCTGTAATCAAACCAACATCAAATGTTGTATTGTTTGCTGTCTGCACAGGAAATGGTTTATCTAATTTAAACAAGGATTTTAGAGCCGAGGGACTTTGTCAGTGTTATATGTAACTCTGCATTGCTCCTTAATGGGCATGAGGAAACGCTGAGCCATGGGGAAAAAGGCTGGTGGGATGTTCTACCAAGTTCAGGTGGGAGGACAGTCAGTCTGTTTCCCTGGATGTGCAGCTCTTTCAGTTGAATCAACTCCCCAATTTCCTTCGGCAACGAGATGAGATCATTATCCCTTAAACTCAGCTGGAAAACACGAAGAAAAGAAAGGCAATGAAGATTAAAACATTTATTTCTGTTTATTTATTTCGCAGCTACCTCATTTCAACTGAACTTACAATCGATTTATTTATATCTCAAATGTATTCATTCATCTCAAATCTGTCCACATGTAACCCACTGGTAAGATGTTTATTGCTAGGACAATGTTAAATTTGATCTTTGTGTCACACAAGGCGAATCGACAACATAAATACTGAGATGCAAACTTACAATATGCAACTTGGTCAGCTTCTCAATGTCAGCAGGA